TTTTTTTTTTCGTCCCAGTTGGTGACTGGTAACAGTGAGCACAAGTATTCTGGGAAAAACAAACAATCATCTGCAAGATGCTAAAAAACTATCAGGCGCACTGCTACTGAGTAACTGCTGTTAATAAAGATGCTATCAACCGAACTACAAGCAAATAGTTCTGTCTTGCTGTAAAAATGACAAGCGATGGACAACAGCGCTTTGAGTCTGGATTGTTATTATCCACAGAGATTTACTGCTTGTATCGCGACATCGATGTGCAGGCTTAAACAAAAATGTTGCAAAATTAGAAACGAGCAACCGGGGAGATTTTAATTCATTTCCAAAGGCATCTTCCTCAGGACCCGTTGAAATGATCTTCACAAGCCAAGAAGCCCCTCTTCCCTCCCCTTGAACCTAGAACTATTATGGGTGACGAAATAGTACTGTGGGCATTGCGATCCAGCCTTGGTGGCAGACACAGAGTTGGCGTGAATTTGGTACCATAAACATTGTTTGTGTAACTCGCATTTGGACTCATCACGGAAATGTTCAGGTGAGAGCAACAGACAACGATGCCGGCAAAAACGCTGTAATCAAATATCGCATTGTATCAGTAAGTGACGGAGCGTACAACAATTTTCGATATGACATCGCTTCACATCAGCTGATCGCCGTCGGGCATCTGAAAGTCGGAACACAATATCAGGCACAATATTTGATTATTAGCGTTGCTTGGCACTTTAGAACTAAATTTAGCTCCCTCGAATTTTGAGCCGATTGTCGCATTTCTTCTTTACCTAGACGTTTCTGTATCCGCTAGCGAGAAGTAAGTGAGCCTTCACTCCTTCCAAAAACCGCTAGTGGATGTATTTTTCTTACTGTACAGGTTATACTAGAAGCAACAGATGCTGGAGGCCTATCAAGCCAAGCACTAGTTATTGTACGCGCAGTACTTGATAATTCCCAAAATATCGCAGTACCGGAACACCATTCGTCGGCAGCTGCAAATACGCGAACTCATATAGCTGCTGGCTTGCCAAATTCGTTCATTTCGGATCCGCAGCATGCCTCAAGCCCGTCTGGTAAGTCCTGCGTTATTATCGATTACTCAATTTTGCGCTGCTGCTGTAACAGGTGTCATCAGAAAACCAAAAGCGCCATCTAAACTGAGGAATATTGGAATTCATCGAAGAAAACGGGCGAGTGTGATTAATACGGGTTTTCGAATATAAGCATCTGTGCGTTTCAAAAAACAGTTGACGGATTGCAGTGAATTTCGAATTACAAGAAATTACGGCAATCATCAGAACAGAGAACTTGCAGTTTGGTGAGGGGTACGGCTGCACCAAAACATATCAGTGGCGTTTGCAGAGGATTGCAGAGGTCGTAGATTATTTTGTGAGTGAGAGGTACAAAAAATGTGAGGAGAGCATAGAGAAGTTTTTTGCTTCAGTGGCAGGAAGAAACGAGACAATAACTGATCAGAATATTTCATGATGTGTATTCCATCAGATTATTTGATGATGATGTATATTCATCGGCTCAAAAAAATACACACGTATTCTGATGGATATTCGTACACTTTCCGTCAAACTTTATGAAATAGTTTTCGAAAAAAAATTGAAATTGTTGGCACAGTTCACGAATTTTTCAATGTTCTGAGCTGCACAGCTGTATTAAGAAAATTTTAGAGAATGTTGGCTCATCCGAAACCGTTCAGACTTATGTGACCGAAATAAGTGAAGCTACTCCACCTCATTCTATCATTGTCACGCTCGGGGTAAGTCCATTATGTTGTCTTCAAACGCAGCATGAATTTTGGATTTTTCAGAACGCTGTGTTTGGTTTTCACTTTTCAAAAATACGGAAGCGTTTGTTTGCGGCGCAAGTGACAGTGAAATTACCACTAAAAGTCACTGCTTGAGGTGTAGTGGACAGCTTCCTTCTTTGAAAAGGCAGGCGAAAAGAGCCGTGGAATATGAGTAGTGTTTTCCTAACAGTTGGAGCGAAAAAAAGCTTAAAGTGCGAAAGCTGAACAATGGAGTAGTATCCTGTTTGCTATACACAACAGTTCTAAGATTCAAAAAAAGTAATGTTGCAATGATTCTACAGGATGAATCAATGAAGGAAAAAATGTATTTTACAATCACTGGCGGAAATGAAGAGAAAAAGTTCGCCATCAATAGCGAAACGTAACTCTCTAATACTTCATTTTCATGCGTTTTCGCAACACTAGCACGGCAAAAACGCATTAAAACAAGATCATTTCTGTGTGTAACAAATGTTTGTGTGCGTATGTCTTATTGTGTTACTAATACATAATTTCAATTCCAAACTCACGAGAGCAGTAAGAATGAAACTTGTCAGCAAAATTTTTTATACAGAGCTGTCAAGAGGTCTCGATACTAATTCTTGGATCGATCTTGGTGTGTTTCAGCATAAAAACCTGAAATTATATTCATTTCCTACATTCATTCTGAACTTTTGTCTCAATTCCAAATTTCGGTTGATATTATAACCGGTTGATATTATTTCCAAATTTCGGTTGATATTTTGGATTTTAGAATTTATTTTACGTTGTGGTACGAATTCAGTATAATTTCTAACGCATATTGACCTTCTGTTATATCAGTTCGTTTTGCTTTCATACATCCAAATCGCTTAAAAGAGGCAGGCGTAGAGCAACTAGCCGCTGTTATGAATTTCATTTATCATGTTTTGTAGCTTGCCTGAATCAACTGTTTTAGCGGCACTCTGATAACAGTGAACACATTTGATCGAGAAGAAACGGCACTTTACAGTTTACAAATCGAGGCTCGCTCACTGAATCCAGATCAGCATTTGTACTGGAGTGTTGTTCAAATTGCTATCCTGGTAGCTACTTATTAAGAGATATCTTTACAGTTTTTTTTTT